GTATATATCTGCCCAGGCAGAGAGTCTGTTATCCCCCGGGCAGAGTATATATCTGCCCAGGCAGAGAGTCTGTTATCCCCCGGGCAGAGTATATATCTGCCCAGGCAGAGTGTCTGTAATCCCCCGGGCAGAGTATATATCTGCCCAGGCAGAGTGTCTGTCATCCCCCGGGCAAAGTATATATCTGCCCAGGCAGAGTCTGTCATCCCCCGGGCAGATTTTATATCTGCCCAGGCACAGTGTCATCCCCCGGGCAGAGTATATATCTGCCCAGGCACAGTGTCAACCCCCGGGCAGAGTATATATCTGCCCACGCAGAGTGTCTGTCATCCCCCGGGCAGAGTATATATCTGCCCACGCAGAGTGTCTGTCATACTCCGGGCAGAGTATATATTTGTCCAGGCAGAGTGTCTCTCATCCCCCGGGCAGAGTATATATTTTCCCAGGCAGAGTGTATGTCATCCCCCGGGCAGAGTAAATATTGGCCACGCAGAGTGTCTGTCATCCCCCGGGCAGATTATATATCTGCCCAGGCAAAGTGTCATCCCCCGGGCAGATTTTATATCTGCCCAGGCACAGTGTCATCCCCCGGGCAGAGTATGTGTCTGCCCAGGCACAGTGTCATCCTCCGGGCAGAGTATATATCTGCCCGGGCACAGTGTCATCACCCGGGCAGAGTATATATCTGCCCAGACAGAGTGTCATCCCCCGGGCAGAGTATATATCTTCCCAGGCAGAGTGTCTGTCATCCCCCGGGCAGATTATATATCTGCCCAGGCAAAGTGTCATCCCCCGGGCAGATTATATATCTGCCCAGGCACAGTGTCATCCCCCGAGCAGAGTATATATCTGCCCAGGCACAGTGTCATCCCCCGGGCAGAGTATATGTCTGCCCAGGCACAGTGTATTTGTGAATGTGATTGTGTGTGAGTTGTTTAAAGTTTATACTTATTATGAAAATGACCGTAAATTCAACGCAATAAATGAAGCAATTTTAACGCATTAATTATAATTTAAACCATAGATAAAATTTTTAACTTCTCAAGTTATATTAAAAGCAAGTAGCGGCGAGTGTATAAATGATTCAAAGTTAAACATTGAAATATCTAACCACGGCCATTGAAGCAAAACTTTCTTGATAACATAGATGCATGCAGCTTTACTGAAAATTGTTCAGTTAATTTTAAAATCTTTGATTCACTACACAAGTAATGAATTCATTCCCTCAGATTTGTTCGACAAGAAAGATCCACTGGAGAACGGAACGGTGAAACTCACCCTTAATGACGTGAGTGATATTATATTATATTATTTACATTATATTATATTTGGCAATCTGTGGATACTTTCGCAGCACCAGTAATTAGGAGAACTAAATAAGCTTTCATACGTACTAGAAAAATGTGACTAATTTAATAACATTAATTGTTACATAACGTCGAACCAATGATGTTCTATCTGTTAATGTTATGAGATGGAAATTATTATTTTGTTAAGTATATGTATGCCTAAATGTATTATAATATAATAAGAGGAATGCCTGAATGTATTCATTTTCATTCAGCAATCACGTACTACGATTTTATCACCATAAAATAAATTATTGAAGACAATAGACTAAGATCTGTGATAAATACTAGAAATTATAACGTGTATCCACACGAATATTATAGCAACTGATATACAACATATAAAACTCACCTGCTATTCGTTATTCTCGCAGTGGCTGCACTCAGCTCTGACCTGCTGACATCGATCGGATCCTGTTTCGTAAATACGATCCGGCGTCTCATTGCTGTCAATAAACACGCAGCTTGGAAAAGAATTTGTTTCACAAGCCGTGAATACGCAGACATTTGCTCGGCAGGCAGCGTTTCTGTAAGATAACGCAAGGTGTTCAGTTACGCATTTCAAGCAGTGACATTTTTCGTCGATTAGATAGCGAATAAAAGCGAATAACATATATAATATGATGAAATGTATAATATGTATTGGGATTTAACAGGATTTATGTTATCGAATTTTTAATTGGCAGAATTGATGGGCTCAGGTTAGTTAAAGGATTAACGTGGAAAAAGGAGTGCCATAACTACAATAGCACATCGATATCAAACAATTTTCTAGTGGTTTTAGACCTGTGCATAATCTTCGAAATTGTCTCACAACTTTCAATATTTTGCTCTTGTGCTTTCCGAACATATCACAATTGCAATTGCAGCGAGATAGAACAAAGTGACTAAACCACCATGCCGGGAAATAGTGTGCATAGTGATGGTGAAAATAAAAATTATAATATCAACTGTTCACTATTCCATGGATATCTAAACACATCTTGTTAACATTTAGCTAATGGTATTATCAAGCGTAGTTATAATATTGTGTAACAATTGAATTGAGGTCGAAAGTTCGCCCACGCAATGTTTTTCCAACACGTAGCATAGTAATCGATGTACATGTGTAATTATCTTGTTATAGTTAATATATGATAATAAATGTTGTACTTTCCGTTTCTATTGTAACTAATTACTGAAAAATATAACAGAGCTATTGCTATTGTATGCAAACTATTTGATAACATGTTACACGCTTGGTGAATATATTAATTCTTTATATTATGTTTTGTATTATCATATTTCTATTATTATACAATCAATTGTACAGTCAGTTTTAAATAAAATAATTTCGATTTAATTTTTATTGACCTCAAAATTTACGTTGTTCTCAAGCTGCAAACAAAGTCAGGTCTGTCAGAATGGCGTTGCTTGAAGAATACGGTCGAAAGTGTTTATTATTCATGCGCATTTGTACAACAATAATTGAGCAAGGAAAGAGATATGAAAATGCGGTCTTTGGAAATGCTAATAAGCAATTCTACATAAGCAAGATCAATGTCTATCGTGTAAAAATTGTTCATATTTACATGTCTTTATTGTTAACGTATTATTTAGATCTTATTTTAGAGAATTTCGTCAACTAAACGATTGAAATTTATAATCTTACATATATATCATGTATAATCTTACATCCGGGAATGTAATCCTGATATTCCCGACCAAAATGCTTCCAACATCAATAAGTTCCAGGCTACGATCATACTAATCAACTAAAGAGGGAAGATAATAAGTAACAGAGCTGAAGATAAATTATACATTTAAATTGACAAGAATTTTAAACTGTCGCATTCATATTCATTTCTCACCAAATGAATTTTTGTCGAGGTTCCTTTTTCAAAAGAAAGAAGTTGATAGCTCAATAAACGTTTAGCATGGTATTTTGACACGTGAAAAAAATATTTTTCAAACGATATAATTTTTTTCGCCTGTCATAAAAAAATTTGCCCGTATATTGCTCCCGTCAGCGAAGTTTTCTACAAATCGAAGGCAAGATATAATATGGGAATAAAGTCATTCAAATGCTCGTAGAAGTTTCAGAATTTTTTTCTTCAACAAAATAAAATAAATCTTCCTGCGCGGCTGCCATAAGCTGCTTACGACAGTCGCAGGAATCTGCAGCATCCTTTACGGAGGAGCTGCTCCACTCATAAAAATATAGATACTTTGTCTAAATTGCGATGCTCTTCTTGGCCTTATGTGAGCCAGTTTTGCTCGGCAATAAGACGTATCAGTGTAAATGCAGTGTAGATGGATTACTATTATGGATTACTATTACTATGCCAACTGCTACGTGAAAATTATAATAATAATAGCGGTTTCAGCGTTCATTAGGCCGTAGGCCTGTCGCAGATTCTTAACATCGTAGAATATTTACAGCTTGTTGCGGTCTCGAATTCGCAACTCACTGCTTCAATTCTGCTGTGCTTAACCGCCCGGCCTCCTCGCCGACTCTGACCAGAAACTGGCGCATAGAGCTGGGATCGAACCCGCGCCTCTCTGCTCCAATCTTGGTACTCTGAACTGTAACCCCTGGGCCATCGCTTAGTCATCATAATCTCCTGCAGTCGTACATCCAACGTGCAATTTTGTGTCTGTACAAATAATTTATGCCAAATCAATCTTATTTAATCAATAAATAATTTAAAATCATAATTCTCAACGAAATTTTTGCAGAAAGTAATTATAGATATTGTAAAGTAACCACCTACCGAGTGCGTTACAGATGATCAAGTTCTTATAAGACTTGTAGAAGCTCATCCAACATTCAATTGACTTTAAAAACAGTCATTAACGTCCTTATGACAATTTAATATAGCAAATGAGTTAGATAACTGTTTTATCAACAATACTGCAGCATTCAAGATGATGAAGCAGATCAAGACTTCAAGATGTCGGAATAAAAAATTTTAATTTCGCATAGTTGTGCTGGACTCACGGTCCTCGAGAAAGCAATCTGCGTGAGATTTAAAGGTCGTTCGCAAGCACCAGTGCTTGAGCCGACGCAGTGAACGAGAATAAAACTAGAAGCATCCATAACAAGTAAAACTGGGGGGGATAGACTCGTAAAAGACACGCTGGTATAACGATGTGTAAAACGGCAGTGTTCATCACAAAGCGATGTAGCTTCGTCACAGGATCAGACAGTTCGTGCCAAAAATTTGGCCATGAGAGATGCTATCAAGGCTATCGTCGCCGCTGATGACAAGAGCTTCAAAGAGAGTTAGGTGGAATTTACACCAATGTTTTCATGATGTGTTGAGTGTGAACATAATCCTCTTGAATTGAATCCTTGATCAAATAAGAGAATTTAATGGAAGCAAAGAGAATTTGCCAGAATGCATTCACTGATGAAGCTGTAAACTAGCAAAACATCTTGACAACATGCCAAGTTTTCGGAACAAATTTTCTTTTGCGTTTGCGTGTGTCTTTGAACAGATAGGATGGATGCTCCTATGTCATTAAGATGTCACACTCTTCATACATTTATAGCAAAATAATTCATGCTCGGCGGCGGGTAAAAGACGCTTTAAACTACGATTTCAGGAGTTGGAGTTGTAGTTGTAGGATGGCTGGAAAGCGCTTCAGCAACCAAGCTATTTCAGACCAGAGGTTTCAAATTAACATCGCCAGCGGGGCGGAAGGTCTCGATTATTATCTAGCCCGCTGAAGCTGGCAGGAAAGAATCAGCGTTATCATCTCAAAAAGACGAAGTGACAAGGAGGGGCAGGTGACAAGGAGGGACAGGTGACAAGGAGGGACAGGTGACAAGGAGGGACAGGTGACAAGGAGGGACAGGAGACAAGGAGGGACAGGTGACAAGGAGGGACAGGTGACAAGGAGGGGCAGGTGACATGACCTGCTGTCAGTCACAGCTATTTCAGTTGTGGGGCGATCAGGGTCGATGCGCCTAGGAACGCAAAATCCCACAGAATGCTGTTCGACGAGTTGTTTAGCGACAGTTCTCGTTGACATTTTTCGAGACTTTCCTTTGGATGCAACCACCATTGATACATGGAGAAATAAGTAAGTTTTATTCCCACTTACAGCCCAAGGTTCGAAACCTTGTATTTTCATCATAAATTCCGAGTCAATTTAAGTAAGCAAACAAAAAATACCAAGTGAAAATAATTTGTCGTGGTATGTTAATGCACACTAGCGTCTATAAAATCTGATGAGGGAACAGCAATTAAAAATTTAGCAATGTAAACATATACTTCACAGTTAACGAATTCTATGATTCCAACGAATGCTATTTAACGCACAGTTAACGAATGCTATTTATAGGGTTTCTTACCCTTATAATTATTTATTATTCGTTGGCAAAACGGATTGTGTGACTTGAAAGATGAAAACCAAATTAATATACGTCGTGCGGTAACTAAATTAATTGAGTTGTCATTATGAACTGGATATTTTTAATTGAAAAGTGGGGAATCATCAATGAGGTGTTACGAGCCTATCTTCCATATCTGAATTTGACCCTCAGTCGTTTCTGCTTCGAAAATCCCATAATTTGGCAAAAAATTTCCTTGACCAGTCGTGTCCTTAATAAAACGGTATAAACTCCTCCTCTATCACCCGGCAGAAAGTCCCGAAAATGTGTAATGAAATTTAGAAAAATAGGAAAAAATTCTAACGACTGCCCTGTCCGGCGGAGCGGAAGCAAGATTAAGATACCACAGGACGGAGGCACTTTTCCAGCCTGGGTCGAGCTGAGGGGTTAATACCATGTATTAATTCAACCATGGGTTAATACAGTCTTACGCAATTAGGACATGGAAGAAGTATCTTAAACACGGCCGGATCATCATAGCATTTTTCGGAGTAATTTGGAGGTTAAAATATTAGTAATGTTATAAAAAGTAAACTACCATTACTAAATATACGAACAAACTTTTATTACATTTTCAAAGTAAAAAATTTGTAAGAGCGTCGTGTTCAAGCAAGAAAAAACATTAATCGAAGTGCAGTACCTTAGAGGTAAAATATTTTTACTGATATGCATTTTCACGGAGTACTTTGAAACAGGTATTGTATTGAGAAATTAATTAATCCCAGGAATACAGATGACCGGGCTCTATACTTTCAGAAAAGTTAAGAAATCGAAAGTTCATCAACCAATTTATTGACGGCCTTTCAAGCAAAATCCACCAATCATAGACAAGAAAATAGAGCGTAAGTACTCACGTTCACTTAGCGAGTTTTGAAAAAATAGGCGCGGGATCCTATCTAGGACGCATGCGCTCATATAATAACTGTTGAAAGATTGTACCGAGTAAATGCACCAATTTCCAATTCTGAATAATAAGTCATAAAATAACAGACACACGATACAATGAAATCTTGAGTTCTACTTACTTGGGGAAGGGGGGGAGGGGGGCTTAGACATTTAGCAGGCGTTTACATTAACTTATTAAAGTCGGCGGATAAAATCTTAATTTCTATCATCGCTGACATCACTGAAATGAAACACGAACACACCTGTACAGGAGAGCACATTAATGCATTATAGTGTCCAGTTAGATTTGAAAATGTGATGAAATATGATGGATATTTAACAATTTTCAAGTGAAAATTATATATGATGATGAGTTCATGATGAGTTAGTTCAAAACGTTCAAAAAGAGCGATCGAGAACTGCCAAATGTGCCCATACTTTGGGCACTTGGGCATATCGCACAGAGGCTATAAGTCAGGATGCCCCGAGGTCAGCTCAGTCACACTTGAGATGCGGACGGTGAGGGTGTGCGACGCTCCCGGGGCCCCGGCCGTCGCTGGCCCGACGTCGTTTCCATGTCAAGTGAAATCTGACGATTTAAATTGAAGTTTTTCTAAAAAGTGTTTATCGAAAAAAAATCATTTAATGTAATCGAAAATCATTTATTGACTTGTATTGAAATTGGATACACGTTTCTTATAGATAAGCTCAAAAAGAAGCGAATGAAACAAAAGAAACTGGTAATTAATTTCATGTGAATAAATAATTTAAGCCGAGTTCACTAGCGTCTTGACAGGCTTAATTGTTCCTATAATTTTTTACTATCAAATTATCGCGTAAATTTTCCATTTCGGGAGTTATATAATTCATACGTAACAAAACGTAGAATAGCTGGTTTGTGTTGACAGAAGTAAGTAAGAAGCGGTTATTCCTAAGAGCCGTTCGCGTATTTTGTCAGTAGAAAAAACTATGCCGGTAAAGGAAAACATTTTAATCGAAATGAGAAATGAGCAATCGTTAATTA